ATGGAAGCGAATAACTTGCTGTCTGCAGCTCAAACTGGCTGTCGCAGTGGCCATTCTACACTGGATGCTCTAACATACATTGAAAATGAAATCCAAGAGTCATTCTTCAATAGAGAACACCTTATAGCAGTCAGCTTTGATCTAGAGAAGGCATATGATAGAACTTGGAGATATTCCATTCTAAGGCAATTACACCAATGGGGCCTCAGAGGGAAACTCCCAATGATACTTCAAAGCTTTCTAAGAGATAGGTATTTCAAGGTGAGAGTAGGAGGCCAAGAATCTGCATATAAAAGAGCTTGAGAATGGAATTCCACAGGGCTCTGTGTTAAGCGTTTCCCTATTTGCAATTGCAATAAATTTTCTGGTTGAGAAGTCCGAAACGATGGTAAAGAAAGTTTTGTATGTTGATGACTTGATAATTCTCCAGAGACATAAATCGATGGCAATTTTAAATCAAACAATGAATAGAAAAATAAGTGACATTTATCAATTAGCAATATCTCGAGGCTTCAGCTTCTCACAAGAAAAAACTAATTGCGTACACTTTTGTAGACAAAGACTGGACCATGCAAATCCCGAGCTTCTTATTAATGGCCACCCTATCAATGTCAAGAATAACATGAAGATTTTAGGATTAGTATTTGATAGCAAACTATTATGGACAGAACAAATTGATCAGCTAGTAGCTAAGTGCCAAAGGGCTCTTAACATAATTAAATGCATGGCTAGTATTAAGTGGGGCGCAGATAGAAATATATTAATAATGCTTTACCAATCTGTAATACAAAATCGGATTGATTACGGCGCAGTAGTATATAATTCTTGTCGCCCCTTTTAAAATTAGACTGCTTGATAAAATACAGTTATCAGCTTTAAGATACGCAACGGGCGCTTTTAGAACTAGTCCTTCGGTAGCAGTCCAATGTGATGCGACAATACTCCCTTTAGACCTTAGAAGGGATTCTCAAACCATGATATATGGCTCTAAAATACTATCAAAGTCATCCCACCTGAACCTATCCAACTTCTGTTCTGATAATGAATTTTCAACAAGGAGATCCACAACACGGCCCGCAAGAATTCGCAATAATGAAACGTGCCGAAAGTATTCAATATGTCAAGAAAACATTCTTTCTGATCATCCTCCACAGATCCCCCCATGGAATGTATCCCTCCCAAAGTTAAATAAACGCCTAACTCATTGGAAAAAGGACGAAACACCACTCTCTACTTATAGAATGCTCTTTAATAAAGAGTTAGACTCTTATCAAAATAGTTTGATCATATACACTGACGGATCGAAGAGTGACATTTTAGTTGGTTCAGCTTTTGCGGTAAACGTTGGCCAATACAGTTGGTCATTAAATCCTGCATGCTCAATATTTACTGCAGAAATGTATGGTATTTGGCAAGCCCTCCTATACTTCTCATCGACGCAATATCAGAACTGCCTAATTTGTTCTGATTCGCTAAGCTCTATCACATCAATGGAAAATTGTCACATCCGTGGTAATGAAATAGCGGACAATTCTGCAAAGGTAGCATCAGGGTCTCCATTTGACGATGGTATCCCAATTCCGTTAGAAGATCTAAAATCATATATAAAACACAAAGTACAATTGACATGGCAAGAGCGATGGACAACATATGTCGGCCATTTGGCTAACATCAAACCTAATATTAAGAAATGGACTTACCCTAGTTTTTTGTCTAGGCGCGAACAAGTTGTAACCTGTAGGCTAAGGATAGGACATTCTCACCTCACACATTCATATCTACTAGGAGGAAATCCAAGACCTAAATGTGAACACTGTAATGCCCGCCTTCTGATTGAACATTTATTTACGTGCCCAGGATATCAAGTTCAGAGAATCCATCGAGGAGTGAACCCTGAAATAAAATATGCGTTAAATGATGAAAAATCCATTAAATGTATACTTACCTTCTTAAGCGATGTTCAACTATTTAACCGCATTTAAAAACGCGTAACGCGGCACGCGGCGAATGACCTTAGGTTTGTTCCCGAAGCGAGTTCCTAACACATTGAGTATGCGCAGTACAAAATAACTGTTCCAGCAGAGCAAAGTTCCAAACAAATTGAACTTGTTTGGTGTTTCCGCAAGAATTATAACTTGGTCATAACATGTTTGTTTTTAGTTTTAATAGTTCCTAAATAAAATACGTACTTTTACTTTCGCGCATGCGTGCTTATTTAAAATCATTTTTCTTCTTTTTCTCTTTTGTTTTCAATTGGATTTTTGGTTAGTTTTGTGAGTACCTATTATCTTTAATTTTGATTAAAATCTACAGCAAAAAATATAATAAGGAGGCAAAGAAGTAGAGAGGGTAGAACGATAAGGTACCGTCTGCGCATCCATCACGAGTGTAGAAATTATGCGTGATTCAGCCTTCCACTCTTACACACGTAAGTGACAAGGAGAGGTTGCCCTAAAGCACTGTAAACAAATTCCAGGATCGACTTTATTCAGCGATTATGTTCATGGGTAATGTTGTAGTTGAAGGGTCTGGAAATGTGCCAGTCCGCACCATTGCTGTTCCGGCTAGTTCTGTCAGTTGGAATCGTTACATAGTTGCCAGGTTATATTTAATTATTTGGAACCAGCGAATAAGCAGATTGAAATAACTTTTACTTTTAATCATCTATTTACCAATTTTTACATCGATTAAAAATGCCATAAAAATAAAAAAATTCTAAAGATTTTCAAGTAATACGACCGTTATTTTTAATGTCAATAATACCTTTCAATAGTGATAATTACAAAATTTAAATTTAAAATCTATCAAAACTGTCTTATAAAACAAAACAGAATTGTTATTTCAAAATATAATATAAATCTTTATATTTATTTATCATACATTTTAATTTACAGAGGTTACAATTTGTCTAAATAATAAACTATGAAATAAAGCAAGCTAAAATGAAAGTGGAGATTTGGCAACGTGGCTTGAGCAAATTCAAATTTTAGACGTCAGTGCAGAGTGGTGTGAATATGCGCATTTCTAGACCCGTCAACTACAACATTACCTGTTCATGTTCAGCTCTGTTTTTTGTTTGTGTTTTGGCTGTTGTAAGCTTCTTTGGCGTCAATTCTTTGTTATCTTGCTTATATTTATGATTTTTTATGCTTTTATTCCGATTTAGTATTAAATTATACTTGTTAATTATTTTTCGATGCACTATTTTATAATTGTTGCACAAAATGTTGTTAAACCGTCCCTGAATTTTGTTTACAAAATGTGCAAAACGAAATTGTGCATAGTGTCCAGACTTTTTCATTGACAGTTATCATTCTACCCCTCTCCACTCGCTTCGGGAACAAACCTCTTAGCAGTCGATGTCGCAAAAAAATAATAATAATAGCAGGGGTATTAATTTCTATCAATTTGATAAAATGATTTAGGAAAGATATACCTGTGAGACCGTTTTTCTATATGTATAACAGTGTGTTCCATAAAGTTTGATCCATAAAGGGATTTTTTTTAATATTACGATAGGAAACGTCTAAGGCGTTATCAACTCTCCTTTCTTTTTAAACTTAAAATAGCCCATGTTTAAGATGTATTAGTTTTCTGTCAAACATGGTTCTTTGCGAATTTAACAGAAAGCTAATGTCATCAGTAGGCAGCTTTTGATATGGATTATTTTAAGTTTTTAAATAATTAGAGCAGGTGATCGCCCTACGACGTTTATTCCCAATCGTATTATTAAAAAAAAAATGCCCATATGGATCCAACTTTATGACACACACTGTATAACAAGTTGGTTGAATCTGATAGGTATTATTTTTAAGTTACATTTGAGGAAAACCATAGAAATCCCTAGCGATCTGGCAACATGTTAATATATAATTTCAAAGACAAGTGCACTTTTTTAAAAAAACGTAAAAATTAACAAGATAAATTATTAGACAGTTATGAATTTTATAAATCTTTATCTTATTTTTAACAAGTATTATTCTTACATGAAAGTATAAATAAAACAATTAAAATTGACCGGTGACAGTTATAAGTCCAAATTTTGACAAAAGACATTGTATCAAGTCGAAAATATTAAAAAAGTGAAATTATTTTGGTTTTTATTGATAAACGTATCAAAAATTGTTTTTCTTAAATAAAAACCGTCTGAATAAATGAATTTTATTATCATATTGATTTTGAATCTAACAAACTTATATGCTGTGAATTCAAACAATACCGTTTCTTAATATTTTATTACTTTTAATACCTAATAGTAAATTCAAATACATTATTTTTAATTATCTACGATATAAATAGCATATTTGAATAAAATTTTAGTAAATTGTGGCAAAACTAAGATTTATCGCTAGCTGTGACAGTATTTTAAAATTATGCGCCAAAACGCTAAGGTACAGGATTGGTTGAAGAACAAATTTACCGATAGAGGTCCGCCATGGGTGCCCAGTATGTTTGTAAACTGGGTTTTTGTATAATTTTGTCAAAATACTAACATTAGGAGTGAAAATAATTTCTTTTTAAGAATAACTCATCATAGTGTAAGATGTATTCAATATAATATCAGGTATTTATTCGATGTATGGTTTATACAACTGAAATTTTCGTTAGAATAGGGGTTAGGTTACCCTTGCGGCCTTATTGCAAACGTAAGATACGAATGTGGTACCTAATGAAAAATAAAATATGCAACATGAAGTAAAAATGTTTCTGTGTATTTTTTATTACAAATACCAGGTAAGATTTGTGTCTTTAAATACATTGTCATGTTTATTTGACCTACAAAGTCATTTATAAAAGGGATGAAACTTTCTCAAAAGTCATTTTCTAACAACTTGTCAGATTCGTCTAAAATTTTGTTAACAAAAATATCAAAATTGTCAAAAATCGTTTGTCAACATTACTGGAGTGCGTTTAGAAACCACGCACGGCGCGTCTGGACCCTATTCTAATGTATGTGGTGAGACGCGCCGTGCGGGGTTTCTAAACGCACTCCTGTTATTGCAATTTTTGACAGAACCTTTGTGGTTAGAAAACATATTTATAACTTCCAATGTGAAATTTTGCAATTTTTGTGAATGGAGTTTCCAACAATATTTTTTAGAAATTGTCAGTGAATGAAAAAATGCTAAATTAAAACCATAATGTTGCTATCTGGATGTTGGTAATTTTTGACTGGATTCAAGGATGCAAGGCCTGGAGGCTGCATGTGAGGAGGGTGAAGTAAGTAAACACTTTACTACTAAACAAAAAAATATACATTTATTGCAGTAGATTTTTAGAAATATTTTATTAGTACCTACTTACCAGAAAAGTGAGAGTTAAAAGTGGATACATTCAATAAACTAATATTTTTGAAATCTCAGATTCATATAATTTATCTTGTAAAATATCCACCTTATATAATTTTGTTGAAAAATCTTGGCATTGACTATGGTATGCCTAATATTGAAATTATTTTTCTGTTATTGTATTGCTAAAGTACATTAATATTCTCTACTTATCAACTACCTATTTACCTACTCTCAGTTTTGTAGTTCGTTATGATGACTAAATTACTAGATAGTTTTTGTTAAATCTGTTTCATTTAGTTTAAAAAGAGATCTAGTTTGGCTAATACTGTAGATCAGGCCAGTTGCAACTTGTAATAGACCCATGTTTACATTTTCATTAAAAACACTACTTTTCTTCATACCTCAATTGACATGTTCGTCTATAGATTTCTGTCTTTTATTCCAAAAGATTCTCAAACTATTTTTTTAGCAATACTTATAATTCAAAAAATAAAAGAATACTTATTGAATTTATATTAAACTTATAAACATTGATTTTAGTTTAGGTTTATAATATCAGGGGTGTGTGTGTGTGTGAAGTCAGCATCTCATATTTAAGGGGAGTTCTTATGATATTTGACATAGTTGTAGAGTTCATGATACTTCTTGTTTGTTTGTCATGGGCATCAACTGCTATGGTTATTACCCTCGTGTTCTGTGCAGGCATGGTCACTGTTTTCCAGCGCCACTTTAGGAACAGCACTGTTAATTGGAACCCAACAGTGAATGGTCGAGTGGGGAATCCTACCTATACATTAAAATAAATATTTAATTCATTAACCAATTTAGGAAGGCTGCCCTACTGGTACGACTTTCGATTCTCAATCATGCAGGCGCCGTACTTTAATTCCCAGCCATGCTTTTTCACCCTCACCTGACGGAGGTGCGTGTCACATTCCAACGGTCGTCCTAAATGTGTTAATACTTTTTATCAATAGTTCTGTTGAATTTACTACCAAAAAGTTCAATTTAAAAAATTTGCTTATGCCTAAAAGTTGGCATCCCAATATAATACATAAAAAAAACAGGGAAAATTGATAGTTTACAACTTGTTTGTATTTCAATTACAGAACTGTCATTCCTAAAATACTTAAAATAATTATTATACACAAATATTCTAGACAATAGTGAGATACTGTCATATGAGTTCTTGAATATAATGCTTCTAAATTACTATAGTCCCTGCGTGGACTGCTTAAGAGTCCTAGCCTCTAGCACTTTCTGAATAATTTCAAGTAATTATAAAAAAAAATAGGATAATCAGATGATATCATATTATGAGAAATTCTAGAATATATAATGTTTCCAAATGATATCTAGACTGCCCCTGCATGAACTCTCAAATATTTCTAGCCTCTAGCACTTTGAATAATTTCAAGTAATAATTGTAAACAATTTCTAATACTCCTTCATATGCTGGGAAACAGAAAGATGGGGTTTTGTTATTTTAAACATTTTAATCTGTTTCTAACCCATGTTTTATTAAATTTTGACTTCACTAGAAGATAGAAAAATGTTCTGAAACACATGTAGTGCTTGTGCTTAAATTATAGAAAATAAAAACAATATGACCGAATAAATCAAGGAAATTTTTATTTATATAAAATTCTACTATTGTCAGGAAATTATCCTTATTCAAAAATTGTAAGATTATAATGAGATACTCTCTTATGATGAGTTCTAGAATAAATAATGTTACTAAATGATAACTAGAGTCCACCTGAATGGACTCGTGAAGAATGCTAACCTCTTGCACTTTCTGAATAATATCAAGTAATAATTATAAAAAAAATTGACAATAGTGAGAGATGCTGTCTTTCTAGAATATATAATGCTTTCAAGTTTTATCTACACTTCCAGCTCATGGACTCATGAAAAGTTCTAGCCTTTAGCACTATCTAAATGATTTCAAATAGTAACTATAATAAACAAAAATTGTAGATGATAGTGATTATGAATATATAATGCTTGTAAATGATAACTAGAGTCCACCTGAATGGACCCATGAAGAGTTCTAGCCTCTAGCACTTTCTGATTAATTTCAAGTAATAATTATAAAAAAAAATGGTGAGATGCTGTCATATTATGAAAAGTTCTAGAATATATGCTTCCAAATGATATCTGCATGGACTGCAGAAGAGTTCTAGCCTTTTCTGAGTAATTTCAAGTGATAATTATAACCAAAAATTGTAGACAGTGAAGTGCTGTCGTATTATGTCTAGTAAGTGGAGAAAGGGAGGATTTACAGCATATTTTTTTTAATTGTCAGAATAATTTTTATATTTATACATTTTTAGAGAGTTTAGATATACCTACCAAAAAATGTTATAGTTCCTGTTGCACTTTTTGATATATTTTTTAAGCTTCTGTCATTTGGTAAAGTTAAAAAAATATCAAAATTTATGCAAATGTCTAAAATTAAGCTGTAAAGTATTGTAATTATTTACCTGTTGTTACCAAATGGCTGTATCATCCTAGCTATGTAGGCCAATAAATTAAAAGAAAAGTCACTGATGGGATAAGAGATGTGTTTAGTTATTTATTTATTTATTTATTTATTTATTTATTTATTTATTTATTTATTTATTTATTTATTTATTTATTTATTTATTTATTTATTTATTTATTTATTTATTTATTTATTTATTTATTTATTTATTTATTTATTTATTTATTTATTTATTTATTTATTTATTTATTTATTTATTTATTTATTTATTTATTTATTTATTTATTTATTTATTTATTTATTTATTTATTTATTTATTTATTTATTTATTTATTTATTTATTTATTTATTTATTTATTTATTTATTTATTTATTTATTTATTTATTTATTTATTTATTTATTTATTTATTTATTTATTTATTTATTTATTTATTTATTTATTTATTTATTTATTTATTTATTTATTTATTTATTTATTTATTTATTTATTTATTTAGTTATTATTATTATTTATTTAGCACTTACAGAATGTAAAATTCCAAATAGTTCAGCATATCTAACCTAACACAAACGATTGTAGAGTTAAAAACAATATAAAATAAATAAGGGGTGGGTGGCTCAGCGGTAGAGTCTCTGCCTGTGGATCCAAAAGTCCCAAGTTCGAATCCCACCGTTGGCCGGAATTTTTTCATTTAATTTAATTATTCTGATGCCTTGGTAGGATTCCCCACTCGACCATTCACTGTTGGGTTCTAATTAACAGTGCTGTTCCTAAAGTGGCGTTAGGAAACAGTAACAAAGCCTACACAGAACACGAGGCGAAATAACCTTAGCAGTCGAAGCCGATGACACACACAAAAAAAAAATATATAAAATAAATTAAAAAATATTAAGAAAAGGAAGAATAACACAACACTGCTGGACGACAAGAGTAAAACTTGGACATTCAGGAGTTGCAAGTTCCTTTTCAGAGTTAAAATATTACAATTAAATATATCACAGTCTGAGTAAAATGTGTTATAGTTCTTGCATAAGCGATCAATAAATGCACTTTGTCCATAATTGGTTCTGTGTCTTTTTACATTCAAAAGTGATGTGTGCCGAGTCCGTCGGACAGGAACTAATAGTTTAACTCTCAAGCAGTGACCTGCACTTGATGGAACCACCTATTAATTTAGTCAGGAATAGGAGTAAAGCATGTTTTCTTCTGCATTCCAGGCTCTTCATGCCGCAAAGCATTAATCTTATTTGATAACATGAGTTATGGCTATGAAATCGGTGTTTAAAGAGCAGGTATTTTACGAATTTACCTTGCACCCTTTCAATTCTATTGATATGACAGGTGTAAGTGTAGGTTGCCAAATAACAGAACAGTATTCCAGGACACTTCTTACCAGGCCATTGTAAAGTGTCATGATTGCTTTTGTGTCATTCACGTACCTAGTATGTCTCTTGATGAAGCCAAGCATTCTGAGGGCTTTGCATACTATGGTATCTATATGGTTGTTAAAAGATATTGTGGTATCAAAAATAATGCCCAGATCAATAACTGTCGAAGATCTATCTAGGTTGACGCTGTCAATACTGTAACAGTTAACAGTTGGATTGTGGGATCTTGTAAAATGCATGGTTGTGCACTTAGAAATATTTATAGAAAGAGCGTTATTTTTACACCTGTTTAGGTCAGACTGTAATTCGGAGTTATTACCAGTGTTTCTACTAAAAAACTTTAAATCATCCGCAAAAAGAAGGCATTGGCTATTAAGAAAGCAGGACGTAACATCATTAAAGAATAAGGAAAATAGGGGACCTATATGTGAACCTTGAGGAACACCGGATAGAACTGAAACGTCACATGATACGGAATTATGCACTATGACACGTTTGACACCGATTACTCAAATAAGATTTAATCCAGTAAAAATAAGAAACATATACCGATTTCGGAGAGTTTCTTAAGTAGCAAATAATGACAGACACTGTCAAAAGCTTTTGACAGATCGGTGTAGATGGTGTCAACCTGGTAACAATTTTCAATTGATGAAATTAAGAAGTCTTGATAGATTGCCAGATTAGTTGATGTCGAGCTACCTTGATAGAAGCCATGTTGTTGAGGTGAGATATAGTTTTTATACGTGTAAAACATTTCATCTGTTAGTATGGATTCATATAGTTTTGGAATTATCGGTATAATGGAAATACCTCTATAATTCTTTATATCGTTTTTATCCCTTTATCCCCTAAGGTGGGAAAACTTCCAAGCAGATGGAAATATTCCACTATCAAATGATTTTTGAAAAATTTGGCTAAGTAGGATTGACAAGGAGTCACAGCACCCCTTCAATAACGACGGTGGTACCCCATCAGGGCCCGCAATTTTACTAGAGTCAAGACTTTTTATTTTAGAAGATACTTCACAAGGAGTGAAAGTGTGTATGGC